AGACGAAAGCCAAAGATGCAATCGCTCTAAGGGATGAAAAACTTCGTGATCTTAACGATGTTTCTCGAAAACTCACAAAAACAGAGTATGATTTACATAGRGCTCAAGAAAGATTGGAGAAGGCTGAAGCCAAAATCCAAGAGAGTGAAGAGAATCTGCAAAGTGCTGGTGAAAATATGATCAGGCTCCAGCAAAAAGATGGTGAAGCTGCAGATCGCGAAACCGAGCAAGAAGAGAAGATTGCTTTCATGCAAGACGAGTTAAAACCGTTAGAAGAAAGGTTTGATAATGCCCAAGAACGCTGTGGAAAGATGGAGCGATATTTAGATGAGTTAACGACGGAATATGATGACATCAAAGGCAAGAAAAAGAGTATTGAAGATGAAATGGGAGAAATATCACAAATTGCTGACAGCGACTTGTTCGAGAAGGAGTAAAATCAGCATCATTACTAACATTATGACTTGACTGGATAAATACCTAAATTTAGATAGGCTAGAAGTACAATTCAAGTTGAAAAGAATATAATTTTCGTGAATTCTTGCGTTCATCTACCGTGCCATCTTCCTTTACGGTTAATAGTTTTTATACAATTAACAATGCCAACCATTAACAATAGATTAATCCTATTTTTGTTGAATTTGTCAAATTATTAGATGTTTAGTCTTTCCTAGAGGAATGTATGCTAATTTTCTCCAACGGAATGAACATATAGCAGTGCAGCATTTTCCCTTTATTGGTCATGGTCACACGTGGTAAGCATTTCTGTATCGTGGTCATGCATTATAACTATGCCTGTATAGTATGTATAGCTTAATTAAATCAATGGACCTTGATTTAAAACTGATTACTGATAGTTAGCAGTAAGTTATTAGTTTTCCAATAATGCCAAGACACAATATTTAACAGCTGTATGGGTATTCTTTATATTTGAATTTTATGCATTTTCACCATGTGAGCATTATACACATACTTTCGTTAAAAAGAGTAAGAATTGTGAGAGTAWTACCAAGCCTAACCTAGGTATTAAGTAGTGTTATTTACATGTAATTAACGCTCTTGATCTAATGCCATAGGGACACCAGCAGTGTTCCAAGATCAATTGCATTGTACACAAAATGACAGCTTGATAGCAAACTACATGTAACTACTGACTAAACTGAGAATACTCAGTGATGACAATCACAYAAAGTAACACTTTTATCCAAAGCATAACTATATCTTTTAGGAAATGCAATTTCATCAYAGGCTTTAACCATCAAACAGSCCATTATTGAGAATTARAATAGGCATTGTAAATCTAGTCTCGCAAACAATAAAGAGCAAAATACTTGGCATACTTGACTCTTGCATGAAGTTTGGTTGTTTATCACAAAACTCTATGAAGTCTTTGTTGTATCTATGGGGGGTTAGGGTTTGTTATTTTAGCCTTATATGTCTTAGAAAGATTTTAAAGAGTTTTTGAGTGTGTAAACATATGTTGTTGAGGGAGTTATATATATTGGTAGAATGCTCTTCAAATTAGCCTGTAAAGGAGGTAAAGTAAATAGTATATGGAGAGAACTTTACAATGAGCAATTCTATTATTCTGTCACCTTCCTGGGATGGCAATTATGAGCTAAACAAATTTGCAACTACCATGTGCCATTGATAATATGAAGAACTACAGATATATAAAAAGTCCTTGTTTGTAAATATATGAATATGCAGGCATGATTATAAAATACGCTTTATGTAGTACAGTGATCTATTCAATGAACCATTTCTATCYGCTGTGCTCCACGATCAGTTGACATTGTTATGTAAAGGAAGCGCCAAGCTGGAAGCAAGCCTATGTGTAAGTGTATGTAAAATGTGTACCCGTAATATAGCACTTCGATTTAAGAGCATGTCGAGCTTYGTCTTTTGCAATTCAGCAKCCGTGCTGCCATGAAGGATGATTAGCACCCAACCCACCTTTTGTTGTTAAATTAAAACATCATTGCTTGATAATGTCAATTGAACTTGTTGAATAAATCATAAGTAAAGTTGTTATCTAGTCTCCTTTGCAGCCTACACTTTTGGGCATCCTGTCCCTCAAAACTGGGTACTGCTGCAAAGGAGACCAAGCTGTTATCACACAATTCTATTTTGAGTAATATTCAATAGACATCCCTTTGTAAACATCACAATTTCAAGAGAATATGTCAGATGTAATCCTGCTCACATGTCATCCAGTCAATAGACTTCTGAAGTTTGATGTCAGCAACTTAATTTKCAATAGCCTAGTTAATAGGAATACCTACACACAGACTAAATTTGCAATGCATCGTGTGATYCATTTMAGGAGAAAACAAATTAAAAGAAATGTACATTCCTACATTATGCATTGCTTATAGTCCACATATGACATAGGAGCGTCAGAGGTGTATAGGGCTACCTGTTTATAGTAACAATCCAGGGGTGGTGTTAAGCTAACATCCTAAAGATCTACTTAAGCACAGTGGACCTGTCTTAGAGTATGCTGTCCCAGTGTGGCAGGCTATTCCAGACTACCKTAAGTATACAAAAAAGCAATACAAAATGAGCACTTAACATCATCTACCCCGAGGCCGAATCTTATACACAAATTTTTTTTCTAGTATAGTCGTAATATTTGTAAATAGCATGCAATTTTTATCACATAGAATCTGTAATAATAACTTGTTAATTCAGTTCCTAACTGCAAGAGAGTATAAATAAACTATTATTATTATTATTTCATTGGGGGAGGGGGGAAGGGCCATGGTGTCATATATGTTTTTTTGCGCTTGTTTGGCTTTGAAAGGGGGATCACAGACATCCTGTGACCCCCTTGATACGCCCCTGCAATCTAAGTCTTATTGGCTGAGGAAGGTTTGACACTGGCATTTTCACTGGAAATTTAATTGCAATCAACCCAAGAGACCTGYGGAGCTGATRCATGATGTGCACCCCATGTCCCAAATAAAATGTTATCCCATGTTAAGCAATTTTCTRTCCAAATYACCATTCTTGAATTGATCCTWAACAGCCAAGCTCTGATAGTATGCATTTTTTCGCAATCACACCCTAAAGAAGAAACAAGCAGTCCCAACCCACTGCTCTGATTTCTTCTCACCTCACAATTCAGARCATAGTTTATTGTTACAAAATACCGTATAGTCAAATTACAAATATGCAACTCAAAATTTCTTTTGTCTGTACTTTTTTCCTGTCATACTACTTGTAAATATATCCAGTTATTTATTTTTATAAACATTAATATTCTACTTTCTTGTTGCACCCGCCAAGAGTAGTTCTAATTGCGGGTAGCAATATATTCTTTGTATTCTTAGTTGACTTAAAATAAATGTAAATAAAGTATTGTTTTTTGTTAAAAAAAATYATCTGATTTTCAGAGGTGCCTGTGTTGAACATTACTTTCAGCTTTCGTTGGACACAGTCCCATCTGAAAATTAAACTTTAGTTTTCAATTGATAAATAAGTGCCTTGATTTGGCCAGGAAGGAACACAACAAGAATTAGAAATARCCTATTCATGAGTGGATCCAGGGGAGTGTTAGGGTGCTTTATTCTTGAGTCATCCACCCTCTTWAAACTGCTTTTTAAAGTAACWGAGATTTAAATAWCAGGGGCCAGTAAAGGAAAACAAGTTGGGKGAAATGTCCTTGAAGTGTCCAGGTTGAGAGGTGTACACGGCTGTAATCTCTTCAGAGATACYCACCATTTGCATTTTTTGGCATGTAACCACAACCCTGATGTGTCTATAGGAGGGAAAAACAGGAAAAAAACCTTGAGGGATATGGAAGATTTCAGGTTTGTTCCTTCCTAAATCACTTTGTGATTTGTGGACAAGAAGTGTTGTACATTTTGAAAGTCTACCAAGTGCCACGATGAAATGTAGCCAAACCCTTGCATCAAAGYGAGACAGGAGTTGAGCCTGCAGTGATAGATACCTTTTGTTCAGATCTTGGACAATTATTCACAGGTATCCATCATTGTAAGCTCAACTGCTGTATTGCTTTGACACGCTGGCCCCACCATGTTTCAAAATGGCCCTGGCTCTTCTCAAAATTTCAGTGTAGGAGATCTTAGACCTTTGAAGAAAGTATAAAACTGTTTAAGGTTATTCCGATGTTTTCTTTTGAGGAACGAGGAAGACTTACAAGCACTTTTTTCAAAACCTCAAATTCAAAGAGACAGACATAACAATTTTGAATTTTATTATTTTTCAACTACCCATAGACATTCACTTTAGATAATTCCAATCTGAAAAAGAAAAACATAAAACAACATCAGAGAAAATAATACTTCACATTTTAAAAATATTGTTTGCAGTTTATTTGTCTTTTAAGACACGAGTATTGAAAGTAGAATAGTGGTGTTATTAATATGAACCATGATGGGCCAGATATAATGATATAATATATGATTAAAATTTCATACAGACTTTGCATTATGTACAGTTGATCCCATTAACATTGTTCAGTTCATTCTCATAGCAAGATCTTTCCCATTTTCTAAACAGAAAACCCAGACTCTGGTTAAATCATTCTTTGATTTGACTCAGATTCAGGGTCTGGTATCATCTCCAACCAGAGTCCTGCTTTTCCATTTGGAAACTGAGAAGGATCTGGGTATGAGAATGTTTTCAGTTGTAAAGATAAAAACAGAATATTAGCATATATCACTTTCTTGTTTTTAATTTTTGCAMGATTTATTCAATTCCAAGAGGTAAATTTTMGTTACAGTGGAAATAACGTTTAATTTGTGGTTTATCTGGAGTGTTAAAATGAATTTCCTTCCTGGAAATTGTAAGAACAATTCAATGCAAATAATTTTGTCCTTAACTTTATATCTTTACAACTGTACCATGTTAATTGGCTTTTCCGAAATTCATAAAGGGACTGGTGCTGAGTGSGAATATYGATGCCACTTAAAGCAAAAAAGGAACAGATCCGAAGACAAGAACAAGCATAAATAAATTGGAGCATATCRCAGCAAACATTTAAAACTCGAAGAAAAAACAAAGAAAGGAATTGAACTTTGAAGCAGCATCCCCAAAACCAAACATTCTTTTTTCAATAAAATGTTACCGGTACTTGTTGGGTATGCCACCAAATGGAGTCAAACTTGAAAATAACACTAATCCAATCAGTGAAGTATTTTCCTGTTTCCAGACTCCAGACGATACTTGGCAGTGGTTTAAACTGTATGCATTTTCTCATATGATGAGAAAAATACCAAACACTTTAACTAAAGCTATACCTTGTTTGAAACATCCAATGCATCATAATCTGGGGCAAGTCGTACATATGCTTTCTTCTGCCCATCTGGCCTGCAATCAGAAATATAAAACCCAAAAAGTTAATTCAGGGCCAAAAAATGAAAACCTGAATCCCAAATAGCTCTTGCAAAATTGCAGTTAGTGAGTCTCTATTTTGTCTTGATCTCAATATAAGGGAGGAGTTTCTACAAGTCTATCTCATGAAGGGCATACAACGAAAATCTGTGTGCAATTTTTTTTACCACATTTTTAGTCTAAAAATTAGCGAAAATCATTCTTTTTTTCTTTCAATTGAGCGAGCGATAGCGTTAGCACAGTGTGTATTGACACACTCTAATCAGACAATCAGTGCGCGAGAATTTACACAAGTGTGGTAAAATATATTTCTTGAATAAAAAAGTTAATTACTGACTGTTAGTTATTTACCTGACTAGGGTGTTTACTTTTGATGCATCAATATCATACAGCTTCTTTACAGCAGCCTTGATTTGAGGCTTGTTTGCTCTTATATCAACAATAAAAACAAGAGTGTTGTTGTCCTCAATCTTTTTCATCGCTGACTCAGTTGTAAGAGGGTGTTTGATGATGGCATAATGGTCAAGCTTGTTTTCTCTGGGAGCCGAGAGACGAGGGTACTTAGGGTTTCGTCTGAGACTGAGGGTCTTTGGACGATGGAATTTTACAGTCGTCTTGACTTTCCTTTGACCAGTCTTTTGGACACCCTTCAGGACGGCCTTCTTGGCTTTTTGAGCCTTTGAAGTTTCAGTGCTCTTGGCACTGGCTTTGGTCTCCTTGGACTTACCTAGAGTCACAGGAGAACAGTTAATATTGGCCTAGTACCTTTACTTAATATACATGTTATACCATAAATGAAACTCAGAAAGTGATTGAAACCTGAGTAAAGTTGATACTCTAAAATATTTAAAAGACAGATGATATTCCATGCTGCAGTGTAAACTACAGAGTGGCAGGTAAGCAAACTTCTGAATCAAATCTTAATATATTCTTTATTGTCTTTTGAAGTCTGAATGGAAAGCCACCAAACAATCAAAAGTTGATGGAATCCACTGACAAAAMCCACAAGCCTTTTCACAAMATATAGGGCCACAAACACCAGATTGATTGGTAGACATATCAACCATCACAAAACAGGAATTCCAACAGATGTTTCATCACTTTACCATTTTAATGGACTACAATATTTGTCTATCTTGCAAGAATCAAACATCGAATAAAGTGCAAGTTAACAGAGCAAAAGTATCCATCTTGATAATGTACACTGCATACATGTACAATTATATCCATTTTGGAATAAACTTGTAGAGTTGAGAAATTCTAAATCAATTTTTTTCTACGACAGAACTAATAAAAACATGACTGTACCATAAGGTTTCAAGATCAACAAATTCGCTTTCATCTCAGAAAAAAGTAAGAAATCATTTGCAATTTTAACACGATCAAAAAAAGGAAACTAATAGAAAGAACTGGAGTGATCCTCACGTGTGCAAGTAAGCCGATAAGACAATTTTTAAACCCAATATTTTAGTACACAAAAGGGGCAGATAATCAATAAAAAGCAACAATAATACCAAATGACACTTCTTCTAAGTATTCTACATTTTAGAACTTTATTTTTGCTTTTAGAATCAAGAATAATAGACGTTGAATGTCACTCTCTCGGAATTRCTTACCCTTGGGCGCCATGTGTAATTCGTGAAAGAGGAAGACTTATCTTTGGGGAGTCCATTTGAATATAGGGCTGCTGAGCTACCAAGCCAGCACAGGGAAACCGTATATAAACCTCGTGAACAAGATTTTTTTGCTTCATTCTTCATGTGTTTTTTTCTTTATTTATTTCATATGAATATATATTATTTTCATTTTTAGGAAAACTGAAAGGCAATCCCATTTTTATTCTATGATTAATTCTCAAAAAATTAACAAGCAATATATGACCGTAGACAAGCTTTTGAATTCGGGTTGCCTGTGGTGATGCTTCTAAAATAAGGCGAGGTTTCCAAGGAAAACAAAGTTCAAAGATGGTCGACTTTTGCTTTTGTTCGTTCTCTACCATATCTGGCAGTTTACGGCTTATAAAAGTGTTAAAAGTTATGAAAATCACCCTAAAAGAGTTTATAGGTGCTTGCGAATAAGGTAAGATTTAAGCACATTTGGATAAGAATCGATTATTACTCTCCGCTCTTGTCCGAAGTCCTTCTACGACACTACCGACGGTACGGACGGTACGTAGTCGTAGCTATTTTCAGAATCTCTTTTTGTATCTTTTATAATGCCTGGAATATTTGGTTTAATAACAAAAAAAAGTACAATCCGCACGCTCAGACGAGGTGTCACAGGGTTTGCGCGGTTTGAGGTTAATCTGATACAGGCAGCCCAACATTTTAATATGCTAAAGAATCATAGCGCGCACATTTATTTATAGCGCGTAAATTTATTTATGGTTGTTTCTCCAATTTTTATCCCGGAAAGCCCTTTATTTTTAAAATACTTAAATTAAAGTTATGAAACAAAAGGACGTACAAAACGTTTACTTTCACTCTAAAAAAAATGGTACCTTCTCAACCTCACACTTTCGCAAATACGCAAATAGTTCCGAAGCTTAGGGCTAACCAGAACGTAGGAGTTATGATAGACCAGAAGTACATAACTATGTACTTTTGGATAGACCATATGTTTGTGAACATATAATATGGTGAAAAAATATATTGCAATTCTCTCTTTCTGTCCCTAGTCTTCATCTCCTAGGACCCAAACTCATAAGCTGACAGCTTTTTACTCGCGGATGCGATGAAGAAAGCATAAAGAGAAGCTCCTCTCTGTTTGCGCTAACAGTTCACTAGAGAAAATCGTATCTCTCAGGGCTGGGTTTTTCAAAGCTTGAGTAGTATTAATCCTGGGTTAACTCAAAAAACCTATGAGGCTAACCCTAGATTAACGGTAATCAGGCTTTGAACAACCCCGCGGCCCAGTACTCTATAAACCCGATGAAACCCTAAACTAAACCCCTCCCCTTTCCCGTGGCTAGTGCATGCCTATGTCAGTTCAATGCTCTGAGTTCAATGTATCCGTGACAATTAGTCAAATTATTGTAAAATCCTTTGTCTTCTTTTGATGAATTAGAACAATGGTATGTAATTCCTTCGACAATGATATAATGAATGCTCTCTATACATGATATAGCTAGTTACCAAGACTTCTTCAATAGCCATTCCTTTTTCGGTAATACGTCGAGGTCAKAGTAATAAACTTGATTTACTGATTAAAAGTTCTTGGACACTGATRAGGTTCGACGTGAAAATGTTTGTGGGATYAAAATACAGCACTATTTTTCTGGTCTTAAATTAGGAACGGAGAAAAGGATAATCCGGTCTCACCGCCTGTCAGCATCAAAAACGCCGCACTGATCGAATGAAAGATCATTCAATTTTTCCATCACTTTCCTATTGTGAGCTGTATATTTCAGCCATTTTAGATCTTCTTTTGAGGTGTTTCAGTAATACATAGTGTTAGATCGTCCCTAAAAGCTACTAACACCGGACAATTTATCATCAAGAATAGTGATGAACTCATTTGGTAGAAAGACATAAACGTCACCCCTGGTTAACCAAGAGATTTCCCCAAATCACGTAAATTAGTTCTCGTTAGCCAGTTGAACGATTAAAATTAGCACWTGTAACAATTATTATAAAGAGTAATTCGCAGCGGTATACTTTTTCTTCACAATCAGTTCAAACTCCTTTCTTTTTATAACTTTTACTTAGAGAAATGTTTTTATGATTTTAGAAAGGTGTTATGTCAAATGATAAATAATTGATCAGAGACTCATCATAACAAATTCTGAATTGAAAATATTCTGTGCCGTAAGTACGTGACAAGCMATAAGAATTCAGTCAAATTTGAAAAAAAAAAAAATACTGAGTCAATCATTACGCTAAAAGGCCGCGGTAACATGTTTTGATCATTTTGACTAAGTGTTTAATTCCATGTATGGAAAAACACATAAATTGATACAATTGGAAAGCTCGTGTAGTCATTTTAATTTGTACCGAATAGTTWAGCAGTAGAAAAAATTAACTTAGTATATGATGGATTTTGATATCAAGGCACGGTGTGTTGGCTGAAAGTAAAGGGGATAACCATTCATTTTCGCARTGGAGCGTCCTTCTCGCGAGCTCATCAGAGGTGAAACAAAGCGTTAATACGTTATTGTTCGTTGTGTTATGTCATCAAAATCAGGGCCTTTTTAGAATTTGGATTTCTAAAGTGGTTGAGTGACCTCGTAAATTAGYATCACTGTCATTTTTTGGTAGTATTTTTTTTCTGTGAATACAGAAAACTCTCGACCTTTGAATAAATAACCCCAACCCTTAGCCAAAGGACGTAAACAAACAAGCTTGATTAATTTCTTTTTTGAACTTGATAACGTCTAACGAGTTTGTCAATATAAGTTTCAACGAGAACGGATAGCTTTAATGGATGAAACAAACTAAGTCTGAATTTTAATATATAAAGTCAATCAATACTGTTGGATAAAAAAATGTTTCAGCGTCATGCTCGAAGGGGGTGACGCACAATTGATGAACACAGTCTTTGTAGGCCAGCCTTGCTGTGTGTAATTACATATTCATCATAATAATACAACATTCCTTTAAGCTTGCATTTTTCCTTAGAAACGTACAATCATCTGAATTTGTGTTTTATTAATTCATATTGAATTGGAAGATTTTCAAAATATTATTTTGAGTTTAATTATTGTGGTAATTTCTTGGCATCAACTCATTTACCACCGGCCGAGGTAGATTTCAATCGTGTTTTAGATAATCGGTGTATTTGTTATATTGCTGAAGGCAAGGGCATTCAGTCTTTCTTGTTCGTGTTGTTTGAGAATCCACGAATCTACCGCAGTGACCTTGTTATCGAAATTCACAGTAAACAAGATCCCAGAGGCGGTGAATTTTTAACCATCGGTTTCTATGTTTCTCCGTACAGTCCTGTCCCCCAATCCAAACAGTTCCTTAATGTGTGATTTTATCCGAGGATTTTCAAAGCAGTASAATGTCCCCTTTATCGACGTCCCTGCTAAACCAAATGTCAGAGTAATAAAATGAAAGGAAACCCCCATTACATAAAATCCACTACTATCTGCCAAGTTCTGGGCGATTGAAAGCAACACATACGGCAACCAACAACATGTATGTACCACAACCACTGTTAACATGGATTTTTGAATCTCAAGCTCCTTCCCGCGGAGAGCGCGTTTTGTACAAAGATGATACAAAGGTCCTGTCTTGTTTGACATTTTCTCAGGCTGAAATAAGAATATGTCATAAACGTGCGCGTAAATTGTTGCACCCAGCGGTAAGAAGAAGAAGAAAACAAGCATGTACATTGAAAACCAAATGTTTGATACAAAATCCGGGATGCACGTTACTTCRGGCATAGAAACCCACGCGAAATTTTGCGGCAAACAAAGCAGAATGCTCAATATCCAGGACAACAGGACCCAAGTGTAAGAGCGTCGAATTGTAAATATACGTTTATATGCTTCGTGTCCCATTAACGCGGTGTGCCTGTACGCTGCCGACAACATTAAGAATATCACAGGGGCAACAATGTCTATGAAGCATACAGACGCATTCAGCTGGCATACGATTCCATTGTCGAACTTGTTATGATGAAGGGCAATTAAAACCCAAAAGGGGATTGTGATAACCGTAGTTACGAGATCGATTACTGCGCCTTGCAAGATGAACAGCTCATAGCCTTTTCTCCTCTTCCAATACTTGCAAATTATCGCAACGATTATCGCATTTGTGGCAAGAGACGTCAATCCAATGAYAGTCAAGATAGATACAAAAGGTACAGCTACGTTTAGTCTTAGTTGAAGGGGCGAGTTGCCTTTAGTGGTTGCATTCATAGTATTTTCGATGCCAGGTTTCCAATGCTTTGATGTGCACTAAACATGAAGCATCATTTGAGGAGAATAAGATGACATCGGCTACTAAACATCTTTTAATAATTCCACAGGTGAATTGTACAACATCGAGCAGGTGGTCCAGGGCTCGGCGCCAAATCAAAGTTCAATTTCTCGTTCTGATTGGCTGAAATGACCAATGTAACCAATGCTTCTGCGACGTCATTTCTTAGTTGTTATGGATACTGTATCACCTTGTTTGACGCCCCGGTCCGGCATTCCCATCCTGTGACTTATCCAACCTTCTTTGTCTTCAAATATAAACAAAAACTTAATTATTAAAGCCCAATAAATACGCGTTATATGTCGCAATGGGGAAGGTATTGGACGAATCAAGTCATAAGTGGAAATAATAATATAGAAAACCATCGAAAACACACCGACTTGAAACTATGATACCTGGACGTGTTTTCACCCAAGTGCTAATGACTGAGTTCCTTATAGCTTCAATGTTCCTTGAAAATAAAACAGCTCCCACACACTGGTAAATAACTGCCAATTAGAATAATTTTCCGTTCCATTTTATAATTACACACATGAAAGGGTGTATTGAGCCTGGTGGTGGATTGAAAATGTTCGGCACCTGCTCATTCAGCATTCAAATTTACAGCAACCTGTTTAGAAGATGCGTGACATGTTTTATGTTCAGAGACTTGTACCAAAGCCGCAAACTCCTTGATTACACCGAAATTGCAATCGCTGCATGTAAYTGAGGCGAGAAGGCGGATATGCGGATACAAAACAGTATAAATTGACAAGGTAATATGTTCGGAGACTAAATCGCTGACAGTCTGTAATCTTAATCTTATTGTTTAAAGCAATAAAACAAAGTGTGCTTTCGTTTACACCTACTTTTTACGGTGTATAAAACGGTTAGGCTTTGAGTCGTAGTAATGCTCTCGATTTTGATGTGGATTTTTCTGGGTGTTTCGCGCCAAGCGACGTCGGCCACATACTATTCAATTTCTACAAAATACAAAAGCATCCAAAACAATTGTCGGCTTAGATATTTTATTATTCATTACACTACAGGAAACTGTTTTGTATCCAAAATATTTTTTTCATTCATGTTTTTTTTATAGCATAATTTTATTCTTTAATTTGTTTGAGACTGGAATATTTGCGAATAATGGACGGCAGTCGCTGTGAAATATGCACGAGCGCGGGAAGTTTTTGTACACATCCTAAAGGCAAATCGAAATTACAAGAGGCACTGATAGGAATCTCCTATTATCAGAAAGTTTAAAGTATAATTCTTCTGATCCTGTTTCTGTGGTTAACAGTGATTGTGATATCTGCTTTTGTCTGCGCGCGATAGCTCTCAGCATTTATGGCGCTGATAATCCAAATCTTCAAATGTTTTATTCATTGACTTTCAAACTAGTCAGGAGTACGAAAAAATGACAGCTTGGCTAACCGCGTTGTATTTATTTTAAAGGAAATCATCAATATAGCTTTAAAGATTTATCAATCTGTATTTGTTTTCAACTTTGCTTTGTGTAATTTCTCTTTGTTTTCGTTTGGTTTGAATTGTCTGGGAGAAACGTGAGGATCTTCATTACGTATAATTCATCTTTCTCATTATTAATAGTAAATTTCAATGTTATGCCTGCTAACACCAACAGATTCTTGCTTTGAGCAAAATGAAAATAAACAATTCGCCTTTCATTTTAAACCGCCACAGTACTAGCGTCAAACAAATTCTTTCAGACAATTTTTCTAGCTTGAAATGTTAAATTATTTAAATCGGACAACATTGAATTAGACAGCGAACTCCGTTAAGCTGATGTTTTTTTTTTATTTTAGGCTAAAACGCTGAAACAGAAGTAGATCGAAAATGCTTGAAACGCAAGTTAACGACATTTCGACTAGTGTATGACAGCTTTTTCTTGCTTTCCTTTCCAAAAGGTATAAATGGCGGGAAAGACGCTCGCTCACTGAGTTCTTGTACTTTTCATCAGAATTTAACAAATAAAATATATGGGAGGTTTTGCTATTTTGAGAGCAATACATTATCAACCATGGTTTTTCTAGTGTTGTCAAGAAAAATACAGACTTCACAACAACATGTTTTCCAATGTGCATAGCTTTATTATACATTACAGTTACGAATTATAGATATTTCTAGTTCCGGTAGAAGGTCAGTTGCTAATGGTTCTGGTTAGATTTTCCGAAATGAAGACATTGAGGTTTTGAAAATCGAGATTGAGACTATGTGAGAATTTCCCGAAATCCGTRACCGAGCATTTGTTGCTTTCAAAAACACCAATAAAGAGATTGACCAATGTCTTACTCTGCGACGTGTGCATTTTTTTAAATCCGATGCTTAGATGATGCACATTCACCCTTGTACATGTAACCTGCATAACATATAGCCTTAGACTATGTTCGAACCCAATGACACTTTGAGACGAGAGACTTAAATAATAATTAATAATAATAATTTAWTATAGCATATTATAAAACTCATTAATATTCATAAGACAAAACACAATAGAAATCATAGCCCATGAAGAGAGTTGTATATTACATACAGATCGCCCGCTCATATTGTATATATTACTTACAGAGTTTCTATGCTTCACAATAATTAAAGAATTCAAGACAGACAAACTTAAGTGGAAAACGATACTAATTTGTTTTTGCCGATCGAGACTGGTACCATTCACTGCCCCTCTCAGAAGAATATTCTCTACTCTCACAATTTCGAGTTATCAATTCCATAATATCTTTTTGAGCGATGCGACTAGCTGACCAAATGATGCTCTCTTCCCAGGAACTCACCAAATTTCCCTCATAATTTTACTAAATTAATTGGAYGGAAGTGAAACCTCACATCATCTGGTTTGGAGAGCGTTTGCCTGCATGATGACAGTTGATTACGATCTTTCTGCGCGTCTTGGGTCTGGGAAAAAATTCTTGCGCACAGAACAAACAAGACTGCCAGCTCGAAGTCAACCAAGATGTGACCATATGAGAGAAATGCAGACCAACACACTCATCTTCAATTGATGTTGATGTGTAAGTAACACATTTACAATGTTTCACGGTTACCTGCGCCATCTTGAAAGGTAGCCGTGCCTTCAGTTGTTATCGAAGCGAGACAACCGTTGAGCGTGAAATGATAGAAACCTTCTTTCACACCTATAGACAATTATTCACAGGTATCTATCATTGCACGCTCAACGGTCGTCTCGCTTCGGTGCAAAGGCACGGCTACCTTTCAAGATGGCGAAAGTATCCGTGAAGGAGACTATTGTCAGTAGGGGGAGAGTCCAGAGAGAGGGGGAATAAATTAATATCACTTGAAAGACGGGGACAAAGTCAAAGTTAATGAGAAGAAAAGACTGTTCGCAAAAATCAAAAGTGACAATAAGATGATCTAAGATAAAACTTGATCATTTCCTTCTCAATGGCCAAAAACTCTATTGATTAACTATAGTACACAGTACGTATAGTATATACTTCCTACAGACAAATATATGTACCAAAGCTTTCAAAGGTCTATTAATAACACTTTTCTCGGCATCATTCACCTGAATCTTTATGATTTCCTTTCATTTTAACTCGAAATGCACACTCAAGGAGCTCAGTCAAAACCCCCGGGGGGGGGGGGGGACTCCCATATATTTGCTATACGGGGACGTGCCGCTGGCCAGGGTATGGTTTTTGGCCTTGCTGTCTTAAACAGGGTATACATTTCACCCGAAATTGTCTTAAACAGGCTCTACAATTTAGATAAAAGAGACCGATATAATTTTTTT